TCCCTCTCCTGGCAATGCAGCTCCTATTTCACAGCCCTGCAGACTAGCTAAATACATTCACTCAGGTGGAAATAACTTTCAGGGAAGCATTGGATGTGCTGTCAAGATGCTTGAGACAGCTAAATTGCATTTTGGGAATCTGAAAAGGAGATGCCCGTTCAATTCTAATGACTCCAAAACCAGTGAAACAACATTTTTTGTTGCTGTTTGTGGTGGTTTTGTATACGTAAGAAATGCTACAGCAAATGTAGAGTGCTTTTGTTGCAAACTTTAAAGGAATGAACAGAGGCATCGCATGATGGAAAGGTCTTGCTGATATCGGGCCAGAGTCTACCCTGCCTGTTAGGTGCCTAAGAGGACTCGGGCACCACAGCACCCTATCCAAACCCCCGGGAATCCACGAACCTTTCTGCTTTGGAAATGCGCCAGCCACTTACTTCCAAGATGGACTCACAAGAGAGCGGCGAGAAGGTGACGGCCCCAACCCACTTTTTGTATAAAGAGTTTTTCCAGGACTTAAGTACTGCCCTGAAGCCCACTGACAGGACAGGCCTAGCAGTTGGTACACAGCATCCATCCACACTAGGATCCCCGGGCACAGCTCTTTGGTCCAGGTGGGAACTAGTTAGTCTGCACCAGCATTTCTATTCAGGCAGCAGCAAGGGAGCTGGTTGCCTTCGTGGCTCATGTACCCCACCCGATTCCTTCTAAACTCTTCACTCCGCAAGTGTTATTGGACCTCTCTCCTTTTTTTTTTTTGTAATGGCCTTAATGTTGCACTAATTAAACTATTCTTTATTTTGCAACTTTGCCGTCTGTTCCCTCTCCTGGCAATGCAGCTCCTATTTCACAGCCCTGCAGACTAGCTAAATACATTCACTCAGGTGGAAATAACTTTCAGGGAAGCATTGGATGTGCTGTCAAGATGCTTGAGACAGCTAAATTGCATTTTGGGAATCTGAAAAGGAGATGCCCGTTCAATTCTAATGACTCCAAAACCAGTGAAACAACATTTTTTGTTGCTGTTTGTGGTGGTTTTGTATACGTAAGAAATGCTACAGCAAATGTAGAGTGCTTTTGCTGCAAACTTTAAAGGAATAATATAGCCCTAGGCTGCTAGCTTATTAGTACAGCTTCTTGTTAACTTGATAAAAGTAGGCATGTGTTATGTGCATCGCATCACCTGCACCCCACCCTTTTCAAGATCCTAGATCCACCCATGGTGGTTTGTGTAGGTCCTGTTTAAACAATCACCTTGCTCCCCATAGGAAGGAAGGAGTTGCGCTACCCAGCAGTGGAGCTCTCTGCGAAAACCAGGTGAGGAGATAGAAATGACCCAGCCAGCGCTGCATTTGGAAGCTGAGCCACTGGCCCTCCTCCCACGGGCCCCCGGCAGACATCAAGAGAGATCGAAATTCCCTGCCAGCAGCACGCGTGCTACTTTCCACCTGTCCCCCTGCCACAGGGGTCTTGGCTTTGTGTGCCTCGCCCGGGGCAGCACCTGGAGAGTGGCAAAACCTCCGGAGGGAACCTACCGTTACCACGGCTCTTTGGGAGAAAGAAATAAAGAGGCACCGCGGCGTCGAGAAAGGTTACCTGAGACGTAAACACCTGTGGGACTGCACGTCTTCATCTTTCCAGCTTCCGGGAATGAATGGAAATGCAAGACATGGTGGGGGAGAGATGGGGGGAGGTGGAGACGGGGAGCGAAGGAGGAGAGAGAAAAAGAAGATGAGAATGTCATGAGAGGTGATGTTAGTAAAAAGGGGACATCTGGACCAGGGGGAGGGATACACAGACTGGTCCATCAACATCTCACCTTAGGGCCAACCCCCTGGGGGCCACATGCTGGCTCATCAAGATCGTGGCACTGCTGGAGTCCAGTCCCCCTCGCCCCTAAGTGTGGCCCATGCCCCAGCTGTGTGCCCCCGAACCGGGGTTGTGCTGGGGGTGATGGACCACGCACGGTTGCAGGCTCATCTCGAGGCCAGCTGCAGGTGAAGCCGGCCTCTTATGTCCGTCTGACCCCAAAGCCCACAGCGCCAGGCCGGCAGGGGACCGGAGCACCACGCTGTCCTGGGAGGTCCCCATGCGCTAGCTCTTCAGCAGCAGATCAAGGCAGCTTCTCTGCAAGGCGGCTCTGGGTAAGGTGATGGACTGTGCTGGGTGGCTCGCCTCCTGTGTTTTCCCCAACGGAGCAGAGACACGGAGCAGATGAGCCCAAGTGCCCAGAGCATCTCCCAGGACCCCAGGCACGAGGTCTGCAGGGAGCTCCGAGTAAGTCCGGCCGGTTGATTCTGCAGGGTGCTTCATGTTCACCGTGAATCCCCAGGCGGGCACAGGGGACAAAGCACCACCCTGTGCTGGAGACAGTCCAGCAACCCCTGGGCAGAAGCAGGGAGCGCGTATAGTCCCAACACTCAGCTCTTCCCATCTCCGAGACTTCCACAGGGACCGTCACAACAGCCCCCTTTCACAAACAGGGAAACTGAGGCACAGATCAGCCTCCCACCACCCACCTCCCAAATCCCTCCCTGAAGCACTGCAAGGAAAACCCCGTTTCCTGTCCCGTTCCCACCTCAATTGCAGATGCCTCGGACCTACTGGTCACCAACCCTTTGTGCACCAGGGCTGGGGTACCTTCACTCCCCTAACAAGGTGACAAGCTGGGGCTGCGGGTTTCCCGGATGCTGCTGACAGATGGGGGAAAACCAGTGCTGGAAGTGGATGTACAAAACAGAGCTCAGCCCCAGCACACAGACAACCAGGATCCCAACTATCTCCTGTCCTGGCAGTCACAAAAGCAAGCCCAGGCTCATCACCTCATTCATATCTGTGGTGGGCTGCTTGCATGGCCAACACTCTCATGTCAGGAGCAGGCCCATTCAGCATCCCCAAGACATAAGTCCTGCCTCTGGGGAACACAGAGCTGGAGCTTTCCTGGCTGATTCACTCATATCCCTGCTGGGGATCACTGAAGAGAGCAGAGGCCCCAAACCCAGGCTGAACAGAGCCAGCACGGCGGAGGGCCCCTTGCACGGGACTCCAAGACATCTTCACGTGGAGCGGTGCGTGGGAACCGGAGCTGGCTTCTCTTCACATCACTCTGTCACTGCTGCCCCTTCGAGTTCCCAGGCTCCGCTGGCTTCCAGGAAATCCCCCTGGACCACCAAGGGATGCCCAGGGCAGCGACGGATGGGCACCGTGCCCCATGCCAGACCCCTTTACCTGGGGGGTGTTGTGCCCCACAGTCGGCCAGGATTTCACCAACAGCATGTTACACACATCCCAATCACATGCAAGGCGTTTCCGAGTAGGGTTTGGCTGAACCGGAGAACTGGCTCCCAGATGCTGGGGCTGGTCATCCCACTTGCTTCCATCCAGCTGCCTGGTTCCTGTATCGTCCACCCCCTTGAACCTCCAGGACCAAGGATGCTCTTGGGGGGGAAGCGTTTCCTCCAGAAGCTTGCACCCGAGAGCAGAGAGCAAGCAGCAGCCAGCAGCTGTTTCCTTCACCGTCATTGGTGGTCCATGCTCTTTCACGCCGACACGTCCCGTGCATCCCAGGGCCCTTGTCCACAAGCTCAGAGTGAGAAGGCAGGTGTGTGCACCTCCGTGGCAGCTCGCTCACACAGCAAGGGACTGCCCCGCTCTCTGGATCTCCCACCCCTGCACACCCCGCGCTGGTGATCAAATAGCTCACATCCCCCTGGCCCTGCTGGCACAGGCACCTGCCTCCAACTACAGGCTGCCTCAATGTGAGCAATAGAAAAATGCCCTGTGATACAACTGCCCCGTTTATATTCCCCTGGGAATGGCCGGAGTCAGGGGGAGAAAACTAGTAGGGGAAATGAGGACTGGTTGGGGAGCAAAGCAAAAGGCAAATGATGGCAGCAGGATTACCCTGTGGGCGGCTGGGAAGGGATCTGGTAGCTACAGAACAGCAGCGGTGGGCGCGGGCATTAGTGCGTGCACAGCTCGGACCTGAGCCCAGGGCAGATGGAGAAGAAGAAGAGGAGAAAGAAAGGACAGGAGGTTTCAGCGCAGAGAAAGACAGGTCTGATTCACCCTTTCCTGTAATGCCAGGCAGAGAGGCGCTCGGTGACGTGAGGAAGGCAATGTCTCGGAGAATCGGGCCAAGCCAGCTTCTGGTTCACCTGTGGAGCTCACCGCTGCAGGGGGCAGCTCTCCGTCCAATTCGAAACAGGATTCAGCATTTCTACGAACAGCACCAGCAGGTAGGAATAAAAAACAAGCCGGTTTCCTCCTGCCTCAGAGCTCTGCCTTCCCCAGGGGCAGCTGGGGAAGGGATTTACCTGGGAGATGGCGTAGCACAAAGTGAAACGTGCTGCAGAACGAGCTGGGCCGTAAGGGCATTCATTTTTCCTGGTGCCGGCACCAGGAGGAGGCAGGGAAACAGGCTGGAAGGCTCATCAGCCTGGTCATTTATACTGCAGGGATTGCAAAGCCCGTTTCAGCTGCGCACTTGGCTTGCCAGCGAACAATGTTCCCAGTGACATTGCCACACCGAGGCCGGGTAGGTTTGAACAGTCCAAGGGACCCGGGCTGGGAGTCGAAGAGGAACAGGGGTTGTTGGAGAGGATAAGAATCTGGATGGAGACCCCTTGGAGATGTGGGGTACAGCCCGGCTGGCACGAGGAGATGCGGACACAGCCGTGTGCGTGTGTGTAATACTGCAGTCCGATCTGCGCTGTGACAACCCACTCGAACCAGATCCAGGGCCTGAACCAGGGACACTGGCATCAAGCCTGCCCTATGTAAGCTAAAATGACCAGCTCCATCACCTTGGAGGTGACAGCTGAGGCATCCACCTCCAAACACGGTCCAGCCAAGGGAGGCACAACACATCCACCTGGCACCAGACACGGACACAAGCCCTTAGCAGCCAGGAGGAGCCCCTGCACACACACAGACAGGGCCAACAACAAGAGGAGACAGACAACGGGCACAACACGGAGCAGCCATGGGCTACGCCCTACCTTTCCCCCACACAAAGAAGGGGGGCGATGGTTTTCTGGCCAGGGGTGAAGCAGTGATAAGGCAGTGGGGCTCCGTCGGGCAATTTTTTCACCTCTGAGGTCCTAATTCCTCCGTTGCGGGCTCGGTGCAAATGCTCAAACATAAGAACCAGCTCTCTGGGGTGGAGGAGGGGGTCAAATAAAAACACGGAGACATTAAACCTCTCAAGGAATAAAGAGAAACCAAAAGGATGTGTAAGAACAAAGCCCGGACCGCGAGGGGCTCTCTTAGGGGGAAACTGTAAATCAAAACCATCTTGCTGGGAAGACAGTGTCTCAGTCTCAGGTAGGACCAACCAGGGCCAGATCCCGGCACCCGGGTGAGTTAGTGCTTCCTACAGTGCAGACCCTCCGCTGTCATCCATGCAGCGAATATTCAGCCTGGAGAACAAGATCGCCTTTAAAACGTGGCAGGAAGGAAAACACCAGCTCCGAGAAAGGCACAACCCGCCCTGCTTATCTCAACGGGGCGTTCACTCTGAACCCTACCGATGACAATTGAGTGTCAACTTGATAAGTGCCACCTAGGGCATGACACTGCGACATCTCCTGATGGTGAGCAGATTTCATGCTAGTGTCACAAGTGGGTGCTGCCTGGTTTGTGGGCAGAGTGGGAAAGACCTAAAGTTTTTTTTTAGCTGATTTGATTCCCATTTTACTCCTTTCCTCTCCACCCTGCTGTAAGACCAGCGTAGGTGATGCTGCTTCTAGCATTCCCCAGCATGGCTGGAACCGGGAGCTGGCACCGAGGGCTGGAGCAGAGCCTCTTTCAGCCCACTGTGGCTCCACCATGTTCAGATCCAAAGTCTATGGAAGTCAAGAGAGAGACTCCCATTGCTCTGGGTGAGATGACAATCACCACGTCACTGGGGCCTTTTAAGAATGGAAATCACGTTAGCATTTTATACCTGTGCACTACTGATCCGGGGTCTCTGTTGCTCCAGCACCAGTGTATCAGGGCCTCGTGGGCTGGCAGGAATGTATCCCCACAGCTCCCTAGCACCGGTTGGTGCTATTACCCCCTAGGGGGAGAGTGAGGGGGGGAAACTGAGGCACGGTGAGACTCAGTGACATGCCCAGGGTCACACATGGAGTCTGTGGCAGGGGCTCAAACTCTCTGGTCATGGGCTGGAGCCTGAAGCCCTGGACCACCCTCCCCCTTCAGAGGCCGCACAAGGCAGACCTGCAACGGCGTTAGCTGAGGAGGTTCAGAGCCAGACATAAATCCAGACTGGGCCCGATCTCATCTCCTCTCTAACATCACTGCACCAACTCAGTGCCCTTGGACTCAAGGCCGGCCTGCTGCTGACAGGGATGCTGCTAGGCCGTCTAACATAGGGCAGCTCTTAGCGGCTGGATATGGCAGTCCAATTTCTGTGCCGGGCAGCTGATCATCGCCTGGGCGCTGCGGTGAGCAGGGCTTGGAGGGGGGGGGTTGTTTTTCCGGGTGCTGAGGATGTCATCTTCAAAAGGGAAAATACAACAACTGTCAGACCAAAGAAACAAAAGAACCTAGCACAGGACACAACCACGGGAGAAACCAGAGGCCAAACCCGAGCCGGATGCTCGTCAAAGCCTGCGGTCAGCACGGGAAGGAGGCTTGTTCAAGGATCCACGCAGCAGACAGCAGCAGGATGCTCAGCCCTGGACAAGAGCCAGCTGTAATGCCCAGCCCTGCCCCAGGGCCCTTGCAGATTAAGATGGGCAAGTCCAAGGTAGTCCAGAAACAAGGACTCTGTGGGCCGTGTCCCTCCAACCCATGAGAGTTGGAGGCCTGGGGGCTTCCCCTTCCAATGGCATCCTGCTCTAGGGCCCGAGTTTTACCAGGGATGGCAGCCCGTACAGGTACCGGAGGGAGCATCCTCTCTTCTATGCACACACTATCCTCTCCTCCTGCCCTCGCTAACCTCTGCAAAATCGACTGGCCCGAACAACCCTAATTCCTGTTCATACCCACAGCTGCCGCCAGCCCGCGGCTCTCCAGTGGGATCCAACCCCCACGGGGGCTCCAGTACGCGAGAAACCTTGGAGATGGGGTGAGAGAGACAGAGTGAGCAGAGATGGGATGGATGGCAAGGTTGGTGGCCTCCGCGGGGAACGGGCGCTGTAGGAGATGGAAGATGATGGAGGAGGAAGTGAAGGATTTTAACAGCTGCTCCATCCCGGGGAGCAAACTCAGCAGAACGCAAAGGACAAAAGGGAGAGCCATGCGGACTTGGCTTAATAGCTCCCAGGGGTGGGCTATAGAGAGAGACCAGCCTGACCCCCCACTCCGAAACCAGTGGAAGGAGAAGGGGCTACTAGGGTGAGCATCACCACTATGTGGCAACCCAGGTACCCACATTTTCCCTGCTTCTCCCCAAAAGCCTGCAGGAGGGGCGGGGGGTGCAGATCAAAGGAGCTAGCAGGCCTGGAAATGTTCGTGGCAACCTGAGGCTGATCTCAGCTGGTTGTAGGTGCATTCAGCTCAGGTCCGACTGGTTCATCCCGGAGCAACTTCCCTGGCTTCAGTGGGACAACTGCTGCCAGTCTGAGGCTGGCAATGCTACATGCCTCTGCTGGGCAAATCTTGCCTTTTTAAACCTGTTGGGCTTTGGATGCAAATGCCTGGTGGACCAAGCTCTGAAAGGCTTCTCAGAGGAGTGGCTCAGTCCCAGAGCCAAGGCTTGCATGAAGGGACCCCATGTTGGGTAACCTCTAGAGGCTGCTTCCCCAAAGACTGCCCACAGTGCATGGTATCCTGCCCAAAACCTGAGCCTAAAACTGCTCAGAGCCATGGGGAGCTCAACCCCAGGATGCCAGGGGAAAGGCCACTGGCCTGGTGCACCGTGGGCACACAGAGTATTGAGCAAGCTGCATCCAGGATTAGCTGGGGATAAAATTCAACACGGGAACAGGCCTGGTGCCAGCCGCACTGCAGCTGGGATCACCATGCTCCTGTGCACAGGGGTCACCCCCACGTGTACAGGGATTTCTGGCGCACACTGTGGCACAGGTGTGTGCAAGCCCTCAGCAGCAGCTCATTGGTGCGCAGGGGTGACAGGCACCATCTCCCCACTCCGATTCCCAGCTGCAGCCATGGATACAGTACCTGACCCTGCAACCCCTTCGCCCCCAGCTCCAGGGGTGCAAGGAAAAGCTCCTGGCTCTGGAACTGATAAGCTGAAGGGGTTAACACAGAGCACAGCCCTTGTCTTGCCCCTCTAAGCCATGACCCCAGTACTAGAGCAGGGTCATTCTGCACCTGCCCCCGTTTTGATGACCCCAGAAGAGCAGAGAGCAGAAGCAATCCAGCCCTCGACGGGGCCAGCGGCAGCGCAAGAGACCTCCGCTGAGGCTCCCCAGGCAGGGAGCGGGACGTGGCTTTCAAAGCTGTACTCCACAGTACTCAAAAGGGAAGTCTCCATGGATCTAGAGAAAGGGCTACAGCTTCCCGGGGACAAGGCAGGCTGCTCCAGTCTTGGCATCTGATGGGACTGGCCGCGAGGAGGCTGGCTGAGCGAGCGGCACCGAGCATGGGTGCCCCATCCAGAGGCTGAAGCACTCCCAGCCCTGCCGGCTCGGGAAGCCAGAGGCCGTGTCATCCTGGAGGGCAGGGCTGAGCCACGGCAAGCTGATGCTCCAGGGACCATGAGCCCCACACGCACCGCAGGTCTCTGACCGGGAGCTGGTGGGCTGGATTTGTGGCTGGGGCCACCACTGGTGGATGCGGAGCCTCGAGTCCCCCTCCGCCACCCGCCTCCCACACCGCGTGGTCATTCCCCGTGGCGCCTTGCCTACCTGAAGGACGGGAGGACACTGTCGTAGTAACACCAAGTGGCGGTCAGGTAGGCCCTGCTTGCGTCGGTCGAGTACAGTCGCCAAGCAGCCTGTGCCGGAGAGAGTGAGGCTGTTAGCAAGCAGCATTGTGGGAGCCATTAAGGGAAGGGGACGCCGTGGCGAGAGCAGGAGCCTGGCACTTGGGCCTGAGTCCTTGCCACAGACTCCCTGTGCAACCTGGGGCAAGTCTCTTAACCGTCAGTGCCTCAACTCCCTCTCTCTGGCACTGGGAGAGCACCCTCCCCTACCTCCCAAGTGAACCAAGGGCAGATACTGTCATTTATGAGATGGTTGGATGGACCATCTCACAGGGCAATGGGCATGAGAATAGTTCCTCTGGGAGGAGAGACTGGCCTTGGAAAGATCTCCCAGCTCAGCTACTTGAAAGGAAGAGAGAAAAGTTTGCAAGTGCTGGTAGGGGGGTCAGATACTGCTGCTCTGTGGGGCAGATGGGTGCATCAGCACCGATGGGCTAGTTTGTTAATTAGGTGGCTCATGGGATTGCTAATAGATTTCCTCTTGGCACCCACACACACACCTCTAGCTGCGGGACCTCAAAGTTGGAGAGTAGGTGGCATGGTGGCACAAGGACTGGCTGTGGTGGCCCAGTTGGGGGCACAGGGGGACCGGTGTTGTGAGTGCGGAGGGGCGTGGGAAGA